TCTCAGTGCCTCATTCAGGGCAGTTCGTTCGTCAGAGAGATATAACAGAGTGGAGTGTGTGTTCGCTGTGGCGCGTCTGTCCAGAGAAGCGATCACAGTGTCAACAGAGAGGCAGAGAGAGAGATAGAGAGAGATAGAGAGCAAGAAACAGAGAGAGAGAGCGAGAGAGAGAGAGAGAGAGAGAGAGAGAGAGAGAGAGAAATCCAGAGGCAGGACAGAGTGGACTGAGAGAAAGCAACACTCCTGACCACCGTGAGTACACTACTGTATATACATGCATTTCTCCATTCACCCATTGAGAGAGTTGTTTCTCTTTCCTAACAAACTGGCTTGTGTGTTCTACAGTAGGAAGGTGGACACTGTACAGAGTAGACAACAGGAATACAGTATGGGAAGATGCCCAGCGTTTACTTTCAAGTTGTTGGCATTGTGTTTTGTGTGCCCCATGAATGAGTGTGTGTGATTATTGAGTGTGTGTGTAAGCACTTCAAAATGTGTCATAAAAGTATAGACATGTAATGGTTGGTATTGAAGTGGCTCACATATAGAAATTTACAAGCGATAAGAGTTGTTGGTGTATATGTGCTTACAGAACCTGCACCTAGACTCACAGACATGCTGGCAATACAATCTTTTTTTTTTTAATGTATTAGTATTTTATTCTTTTCTGCAACTTAAGCATTTATGGTTCATTCATCTCTTCGCCATGCATTTTCTACACTTGAAGGCTTTTCCCACAAGAAATACTTGTTTTAATGTTATGTGTGATCATATCACAATTTATTTGGAATCGCTTTTTTTTAATTATGTTTTTTATCATACATGGTGGGCTGCTGACATGTATGAAGTCTTTGTTTTCTTCAGATGCATGTAAACTCTTAAAAACTAATTGAGCTGCATAGCAACACACTCAAAAAACTCACAGGACAATTCCACAGTGTGGTGTGTTATACTTGCCTTTTGCCAGTCAGTCTCATCCTGAGTGGACTTCACTGTTTCTCTTAGAGAAAAGTAAATGGCATCATTTTCTCTCGTGCAGGATTGTAAAGGTGGTATCCGAACTGCTACACTTTCTTGAGTGGTATTTCCCAGGATTGGTCTAGAAATGTATGTTCACCCCCCCTCCCATCCATTCCACTACCAAAAGCTAAAGTAAGGCTGGCTGAAATCAGCCACTGTAACTGTCTCTCCACAGCAAGATAAGATTTGTTCATTTTAGTGTTTCCACTTCTCTTGGGAAGAGGACTGGAAAATATACCACAGGCATTTTGTAAAGTGCAGTGTTGATGCTGACAGCAGAGAGAAGAGTTTAGAAGGCTGGCGAAGAAAGAACTAAAAAGGCAGATTATGATAACCCCTTAAAAAGAGGGATTATGATAACTGCTGCCACCCCTTCTATTTCTCCTCTTCCCCACTCACAGTAATTATTTCTCGAAAGCCCCTTTCATTCTTTGTCACCTCTGTGGCTTTTGTCGACCCTGTTTTCCTTTGTCAGATGTCACAAAGTCAAAATCAAGCACATTTGCTACTGTAAAACTGTGAAAAACATGCTGGCTGATATTTCACGTTTTAATTCGTCTCTGTGTTTTTTAATTTTAAAACTGATTTTTTTTAAATTGTTTTTTGTTCTAAACATGTAATTTTGTGTTTCTTTATTTCTTTGATATAAAGAGATTCATAATTTATTACATGGCATCCCTGTATATGTCCTTTATCCTGTGTGAAAATATTGTATTGCATTACATGAAATCTAACAATGCATTTCACTCATAAAGGCAAGTGTTCTTGTAGTTGCAAAGAAGACTATATGTTCATCAAAACTGTATATGAAATGCAGATTAATTAGCAGGCATTTGTAAAAATGACTTGAATCATGTGTGATGTGCTCAGAACTGTTTCCTGAAGAGATCAAGGAATGTTAGGCCCCAAGCCTCCAGAGCAAAGTGTCGAGGGTAGGTTATCTTTGGCTTTTGTTGGGATTTACTCGCACAATAAGGATTTAGTGGGTGACAGTTGGGCAGGGTGTGTCTACATCAAAGAGGCTTCTCAGCAAGAAGCAGCAGTGAGCAGCAATGCATCATGAAACCCTGCTGCTGCTGTGGTGAGGCAGAGCTAGGAGAAAGTTGCCCTTACTGTTTTCTGTTTTATTTTCTTCATGTTTTTAAAGGTAAAACTAAGTCTAGGCAGTGTGTGTGATGAATGTGGGCATGCAAAGGCACTGCTGGGTTCATCCAAGTGCGTGTGTTATTTGTCTTTGTGCATTTGTAAGACTCTTCAATGGTGTTTGTTTGACAGGCAAATGCTGGCTTTAAGGATTTGTTTGTGTTGATACGTGAACATGTGTGGGTGCAGACATTGTCTAACATTTAGAAACACGCAATAAATTTAAGAAAATGCCAAGAACAGATGCAAAAAAACAAAACAGAGTTTGCTGCTGAATGAAAAATGTGGCTGTCTGCTCAGAATGAAAACTAATGGAGAATAAACCTCCACGGTCTAATTGCCAACTGTTTCATCATCACCCAATAATTTCTACAGTAACAACTCATTCTGAACGACATATTCCATTTATATCTTTCTTTTTCTCATGAACATCCATTTTTATTAGATTACATTACACTTTACCTTTCAACTGCTTTTGTAATTTCCCACATACACTTTCTTGTATGTTATAGTCATGCCATTCAAAAAGTTTCCACTCCGAATGCAGCTCCCCTCATGCATGCACCACCTACACTTGTTTGGAGCTGTCTTTAAAAATTGCCTCTGTATCTTTTTGGTGAGACTGGTACAGTGTTTAACACACTGCCTAATCCCTTTAAGCAGAGTTGTTATCCTAACCCCCGATGAACTGTATCATTCCTGTAGCTCGTTGCACCTACAAGCTGTTTTCAGTGAGCATCTTTGTTTGGTTTAAAGGTGAATGGTGTGTGTGTGTGTGTGTGTGTGTGTGTGTGTGTTGTGGGATGTACGGACTGCACAAATAAGTCTTTTCTTCTGAATCCTAATCCCTCCTCTACACAAGAATGAGAGATGGAAGGAGAAAAATATGTGAGACAGTGTGAGAGAGACATTGGTGTTGAACACAGTGACAAGTCCCTGAGAAAATGCATGTGTATTGTTGTGTGTGCTGGTGAAGACAACGCAGTGACGGAGGCTTTCAGGAGGGAGCGAGAGCAGGATTTGCATGTGAACAAGGGCTTTAACGGTGCTGTGAACCGTTACTACACATTCAGAGAGGTTTTGTAGCAAGTGGACAGAGTTGTTCAGAAACAGGTGTTCTGCAAATCACAGCAAACACTCTCTGTTACAAAATATTTTTCTCAGCAGCTCTATTCTCTGCCTTCTCTGGCGCCATTTGTTTGCCAGCGCTTTCAATAGAAGTTGGGCTCTTGTTCAGAAAACATTCAAACATAATTTGGGAGACAGCAAAGAAAGACTGCAGTCTGTGTGTTTGTTGTTGTCCTTTATTATCCCAGTGGACATAATGAACTTTGATACACAAAGAAGTTTGAAAGCACACAATACTTTATTTTGAAAGTTAATTCTGTGTTTCTTGATTATGTAAATACATAATGGGGGCTGGTTCATACTTACATACAAATATGCTTGAATTTGCAATTACAGCAGTCATATTTAAAGAATTTCATGTTTCAAGACGTTGCAGTTCATACAGATCAGATGCCAGCCGAGGCATTTGATCAGTTACAATACTTCTTAATAGTGATTCTATGATTGTTCAGCTTAGAATGTAAAGGCATATGTTTTTTCAGCAAGTTATTTTTTTTACAGAATGCATCTCAGAGAATAATTACAACACTGCCTAAAGCCATGCAGTGTAATAATAATAAAAAAATTGCCTGGCTTTTGATTAAATCTGTCTACATATCCTTTGGCCATATTACTCATCTTAATAGTATTTCTGATTTTAATTAATGTCTGACATTTTATTAATTTTTTTTTTTTTTGGTTTAAATCAGTGGCTTTTATTTTTTTATTTTATTGACTCCATGAGTTGTTAATGACTGTGATCATAATATATTTATTTTAACTTCCCTGCAGCACAGAGATTTGCTGTGTACTTTTTGTTTTGTGGTTGATGTTTTTAAAGGAATTCTGCTCTGTCTGTTCACTTCATCAGAGCAGCTTATTTTAGAGAGTGTGGTTTTGTACCAATTACTTCATAGAAAAACGTGTTTACAGTTGCTTGTTTTGCTGATATTCAACATTTTAGAATGCATCAAAAAAGGAAAGCAAAAAAGATATTGTACAAAAAGTCCTCAGTGTATGGCACTGAAAAAAGCTTTGGCTTTAGGACCTTTAAACTGATTCAATTTTATTACATACAGCTCAACTTTTGCTGTCCTCACTAAATAATGTAAAATCAAGACACAGCGGTGTGAGACATCTGAGCTGGAAAGCTTCTGCAACTAGATGTGGGAAAATATGCAGATCAAGAAAGTAAATGATACATCCATCCATTATCTATACACCGCTTAATCCTCACGAGGGTCGCAGGGGGGCTGGAGCCTATCCCAGCCGACTTAGGGCGAAGGCAGAGGACACCTGGACAGGTCACCAGTCTATCACAGGGCCACACTTAGAGACAGACAACCAAGCACACTCACATTCACACCTATGTACAATTTAGAATCACCAATTAACTTCAACATGTTTTTGGACTGTGGGAGGAAGCCAGAGAACCTGGAGAGAACCCACACTGCACGGGGAGAACATGCAAACTCCACGCAGAAAGATCCTGGGTGCCCTCACCGGGACGCGAACCACCGACCTTCTTGCTGCGAGGCTAACCACTGCTCCACTTTGCAGCCCTAAATGATGCATAATTAGATGGATAGATAGATAGATAGATAGATAGATACTTTATTCATCTCCAAGAGAAATTTACAGTTCCAGCAGCTTCCAAGAAGGGAACACAGGGGCATGCAGTGTTCTAGTACAATAAAATAAAATAAAAGGAATCGTAGTATGATAAATAAAAAGATACAATATAGTAACTACGGTGTAAAGAAAAATAATAATAATAAAATAAAATAAAAATAAAAATAAAGATATAAAAAATAAAATAAAATAAAATAAAATATAAAATAAAATAAAATAAAATAAAATAAAATGTGTGTGCCTAAAATGTGTGTTATATAAAATTACATAATTATTGATTCAAAAAAAGTAACATTTTACACAAGTAAAAATACATGTATCATACTACAGTAAATATGTGGTAAAAAAAAAACCAAACAAACAAAAAAACATACTTAACCATCAGCAGCCTTCAAATAAATTGCAATAGGGTTGCACATCAACAGGAGCAGGAGTCTGAAGTTAAGCATTTGCAGACTAAAACATGACCAAACAAAAACATCTGCTTTAAAAATAAGGAAACCTCTTTCTGCTTAAAGCATGATTTTGTGCATATTTTGTACAGGTGACATTGTGTCTGTTTTTAAACAAGGTTAGGTTGAAAATTAAAGAAAAACGAACACATGATGTATCTGCAACTATGGTTTATCAAACACATGTTAGAAATTGTTGAGTTCTCAGTCTTATGTGTTTAGTGTCAGGATAAATATGTGTGAATGCAAAATTCTTTGAATTGTTTATGTGTGTGAAAGAGTGATAGTGAGTGTAAGAGAGTCAAACTTGTCAGAGATGTTTGACTCATAGCCACAGACATCCTCATTAGGTTGCCTCACATTCTCTCTTCTGTTTAAATGTTTTTGTGTGTATACTGTTACTGCGTACATACACAGTCAAAGCAGTGTACAAATTAAAGCAGTGGCAGTTGATATCAGAGGTGCTGACTTCTCCTTGTGTGTGTGTGTGTGTGTGTGTGTGTGTGTGTGAGAGAGAGAGAGAGAGAGAGTGAGAGAGATTAATAGCACTCTAAAGGATCCACTTGATTATATTCAATTGAAAGCTTTCTCCCTCAGCCTTATTTATGTCCACACACTACAGTCTGGACACACACATATAAATCTGTTGCTGCAGCCATCACACACATCTCACCTGTCTCCAGCATCTCTCTCTGAAACCCATATTTGCTGCTGCCCCTCTCTTGTTTAAAGGTATCGCTGTATTATTTTCACTTTCAAACCCTTATCTTCTTTCAAATCAGACAGCCCATCCTCAGGGCTTTCTCCTCACCGCAGAACTATTCACTTACTGACTCCTCTGGCCTGCCTTTCCCACCATGCAAACTGTTGCTCTCATGGTTTCAATCTTGCATATCACTCCTATACACTTTGAGAACACTTTCCTCTTTCTGTAGCTTTTGCCTGAGGCCAGAACTGCAGGGCTTTGTGACTCGTACCCTCTAAATATTTCACCTTTGGATGTTGAAAGGTTCTTCTCAAACAGAGACTCCTGAGGAGATGCAGGAGAAGGTGCAGAGTGTGGAGAGATTGAAAATCAATCATTTGGAATGAAAGGTATGAAAGGTAGAGAAAATTTTGAACAAGTGGAAATAGGTATTTTTTTAAGAAAAAACAGCAAGCAGTAAGCTGAAAAGCAATGGCTGCTGGTGTGGAAA